TTGAGAAAGTACTAAAGAAAGTTGAGAACTTTAGAAAGAAGAAGAAAGACCAATACTTCTTTAGCTTTGAAAGAGAGATATATTAGCTTTTGCGATAGAAAGAAGTAGTGGAGCTATTTATGGAGAAAGATTTCATTGTTTATGAAGAAACCAACGTAACTGTAAATGAAACAAAACAAGATTAATTACATGGGATTAATTTGCTCACCAACAACTTGATTCTTGGATGATACTAAAACTATTTTAATAACCGACGGGTTGTTCTAAGTTCTAACAGAATAGAAAGTAGAGAGGAATTTTTACCAAGTGACAAAAATGCAATCTATATATAAGTTGGCAGAAAAAGTTAAATGAACTACTACCATATTCAAATACCAATCCATTCCTCGAAAGAATATGATGCCACGTACGCATAAGAAATTACCAGTCGATTAGCATTTTTTGAATTTATATGTGTTTTTAAATTTACAAACGACGGTAATCCTCGGAGAACGTACCACTACTTGTTTGAACTTGGAATAAGGAGAATTCAGCCGTACGGCCGTATCGATATTAAACCAGTAATGATTCTCGGTCGCAAATTCAAATTAGTCGATCTAGCGGATATCAGGTGAAAAATCAAGGAAAAAATTAAATTAATAGTAATTGCAGTGACATAGAATACACCTATGACAAATTTTATTTAGACACTTCAATTGAGACTTGTTCCTATTGAACACCTAAATTTTATACAAAATATTTTTATTAAACACAATTTGCTAATATGTAATAATACATGTTTGTCACGTTTTACAGGCGCGTGAAAAGCTAGTCTTGCATATTGTTCACCGGAAAATGCATAGTTTTTGGCCGAAAAGTAATCTACAAAAATTACCTTTTCTCTAAACAATTTTCAAACTATTTTGTTCTTCTCTAGCCATCTCCACCACTTACTTTCTTTTTTTAGATCTTGCCAGCGACCACCATAATCACCGACTCCTCTTGCTCCTTTAAATTCGGCCACTGCCACCATCACCATCACCTCTTTCTCCTTCACATCCAACCACCAACATCACCACTATCTCCTCCCCGATCTTTTCCAGTTCCGCCGTCGGCCACCATATCTACCGCTATCTTTTTCTTCTTCGGATTCAGTGATGCTACCACATCATCACCACAACCACCTCCTCCTTCAAGTCCGATCACTACCACCACTGCCTTCTTCTTTATCAAATCTAAGGGTGGCAAGTGCGCCGGTCCCGGGCCTAAGTGGGCTAAGTGGGCCGGCCCTAAGTGGGCCGGCCCCAATTTAAACGGGCTTTACGGTCCCGGTCTTGGTGGTCCTTTTGTAGGAACCGGCCCGGGACCGGGCCCACGAACTAATGGTCCCGGGCTAAGTAGGGGTCCCAAGCCTAAGTGGGCCCAACAGATATTTTTTTAATTTTTTTTTATAGAAGTTAGAGAAAAAAAGATGGTAATAAAAATATCTAAGGCAATTCCGTGTAAATTATATTATAGAATTGTGAGCTAAATTTTGTAATTCAAATTTAAAAACAAAAATATTATAAAGAGATATTCAAAGCAATGCGTTATAATTTTATTATAACATTAAAAAAATATGACAATATCTTTCTTAGTCTTCCTCCCCCCTATGGAATGAGCATAACAAGGTGCTAATACCACCATTGAGAAGAAAAAGAAACTAATAAATATGTGCCAAAATACAAGTTACATAATACATACTAATTTTTGTCATATAAGTTACATGGTATCTCTTACAAATTTCATAAATCCATTAAGGTACAGAGGAATTTTCGTTGGTGGTGGCGGAAAAGAAGTTTGGTCATCACCGCTTCCGGGCGAAGCAGAATCCTCCGCAAGTTCAGCTAGCATTTCTTCGTAAGTTTCGTCTACCTCTTGTTGTGATTCAGCAAGTCCAAAATTTCTTCTTTCCGAACGGATCCAATCTCTGAAAAGTACTGAGTTTTCCAAGCTCTCCCTCATAGACGCTCTATAATCACCAAGTTGAAGTCTTGCTTGACTGAAAGCGCTCTCCGATGACACTGTTGAAGCTTGAATAGTTAAAATGTCCCGGGCCATCCTTGAAAGAATCGGAAAGTATTTTTCTTTGTCCTTCCACCATTCCAAAATATTAAAGGAGCCGTCGGGATTCACTTCCTCAATTCCCTGTGACAAATAAATTTCAAGCTCATTTAGTTGTGAAAAATCACTAGTAGTAGAACCGGTAACAGTATTAATTTTCGGTTGAAATTAATTTGACCCAGTACTATGGTCATCCTGACTAGGAGTAAGTACACTTGTCCCCTCGGCCAAAGCTTTGGCACGAAGATATTTGACTTTATCTGGAGGGTGTATCAATATGTGTCTAGCCAAAGTTCCCGTATCCCCCCCCCCCCAAAATATTTAAAATCTAACTCCTTGTCACAAGTTTTATACTTAGTCTTATTTTGTGAAATTAGTTGAGTAAAAAAGGGCCAAACAATATATGTTTTTGTCCGTTGGTACGTTATCTAGAAAAAGTAGGGGTAGTAACAGGAGGGTCAGACAGGGCATCATTTGGATTATCATTAGTTGGGTTAAAACTTCAGGAGCAGGACTAGTGGGTGTATTGTCATTTGCGTTTCATCAAAATCTATTTCCTCATCATCATTTTCATCAATAGTTGGATTAGAATAAAAAGCATTCATTAATTCATGGTCTAATTGTTCACCAGCTCCAACATTATGGCAAAATTAACTCTCAGTAAATTGTAATAAACTATTATCACTATCAAGAATAGCAGGTGTAGGACGGACATGGGGTTTGGGTCGGGGAGCCGGGAGAAATGGAGGAGGAATAGATTGGCCACTAGATTCATCACTATTGGATTTTTCCTTATTTTTACCAAATTATTTTTTTTAAGGAAGTCATCTTAATCAATCAAATAATAGAAAATAAATAAAACAAATAAAACTATAATATTAAAAATTAAGAGTTGGAACGAGTTTAGCGAATTGACGAACAACTTGTTGAAAATTGATTATCGTTGAAGACTTGAAGACTTCAATTCACCAACTTCACAATTTTTTCACAAATTGTAACAATAAAGTAAGCAATAGTAACAATTATAGAAGAAAATTAGAGAGAGATTGATGATTTTGTGAGAAAAATAAAAAAAAATGAGGGGGTATTTATAGTTGAAAATAGGGAAAAGGTATAATTATAAAAAGTTTGGAGTTAAAACAAAGTTTGGGGGGTTAAATGGCTATTTTGCAAATAGCCAACGGCTATTTTGGCAGACCAAACGGCTAGTTTTTAAATGGCCAAGCGGGCAAAAAACATTTTTAAAAATCTGATCGTTGGGATCGTTTGGGACCGTTTAGGCCCGCCAAGGAGCGGTCCGGTCCCGATCTCAAATGATCCCGGTCTTGCAGTCTTTCACAAAAAAGACCGGCCCACCTCCACGGTCTCGGTTCTAACCGGTTAAGGACCGTATAGGCCCAGAAGCCCACATGATCCGCAGTCCCGGGCCTAGACCGGCCCACATACCACCCTTTATCAAATCTGATCATTATCACTGTTATTTCCATCCCTTTATCAGATCTGGGCGCCCACCATCACAATCGCATTTTAATCTAGGTAAATTTATTTTTTTTTGGAAGAAGAATCGAAGCAAATGAAGGATTAACAAACAAGCTAATGACCGCCTGCTATGGGATGTCATTCATCAAGACTTGAATACAAAAAAAGCTTTCATTTTAGATTTGTGTTGTAGCTAAAGTTGGTTGATAGCAGATTCTGCCGGTGACGACGACGTTATTCCCGGCCATCAACTCTGTTTTTCTCTTTCTTTTTTGGGTCAGATTATTTTTAATATTGCCTATTTTATTTTTGCTGACATGTAATTTTTTTATTGGTTTGGTCTTCCATTTTAAAAGAGAGTGAGATTCACGTATTAGTATTGGTTTGGAATTATCAAATTTGTGTTTAATAGATATATTTTATATGAAGTTCAAGTGGTCAATAGGAACAAGCGTTGGTTGAGATGTCTAAGTAGAATTTGATGTCAAGTTTAAGGGGTTGTGTATGTATTTCGCCATCTTTCTTTGTTTATGATAAAAAAAGGTGTAAAGTGTTAGCGAGTGTGAGAACAAGAAATCTATGTGAACGAATTTGAGATGTCTTGTCCTATGAATTCTTCAAATGGGAATTTGCGTTTTGCACTACTGAATGATGCAAATACACACAATTTATTAGTAATTCTTATTGATCTGTTTGGTTTGGACTATAAAAATGATTTTGCAGATTACTCATATTCCCATTATAGCTTCTCATACAAAAAGATGATAACGGCCTACATTTTATAAAATAAACTTTTGTTTTACGATACACTACATTTTTTCTTGTTTCTGGAATGCAAAATAAACGTTCGTTCTTTAAGTTTACATTGTTTTCTCTTGTGATAGTCCGTTGGAGAGCTTAGAAAAAATATGTAAACGTTAAATTATTTGATCGACTTGCCTAAAAGTTAAAAGCTTTCCCCTCTTTTATAGGCCAAGCACGTAAATTTTTATTTTAATAACGGCGACTCTGAGACTTAAACAAGAACCTTTGTTGCTTTGATCAGGAAATGTTAAATTATGTACATGGAGCATATAAAGTTTAAAAAGGATTAATGTAGCCTAAATGGAACTATTTTAAAAAATACGATATAATTGGGAATTCTTCTTACAGATTGTTGCATATCTACATTTTCATAGATCAACGTTTCAATTTTTTGTATGATATAGCACCAAACTTATTAAAAACAGGTAGATGCATTACTCTTGTGTGATGTGTCTGCACTCTACAAAGTATATATCCCCTTTAACATGGCACCCTACTAAATTATTTATATAATTCGCTTAATGGCTTTGCCATTCACTGCGACAAGGAGAACATATTATAGACAGTGTAGTTGCTAGTAGATCACAAATCAGACAAACTCCAGTTTGCTCAAATTGGACTTTCCCAAACGAAGATACAGTAAATATGCAAATATATTGAGAGACATTTGAATCGAAAATGGTACATAGATTGAGATATATTCTCCTCTCAGAAGATGCAAAAAACAAAACACCACTGCAAGGAAAAATTTCCTAAGTTCTTATATAAATCTGATTCTGACCCATAAAAACACTACTAATAGTCTAAACCATGTGGTTCCTAGACCAGGGTCGTCAGAGGAAATTTACAAACAAAAATACCAACAAAAAAAATAGAGTGAAGAAAAATGTTAGGCAAAAAAAAAAATATCAAACTGCTTTATCCCGAGCTAGCCCATCTTTTTTCACTACAAATTACAAAACCTTACACCTAATATTCACTCTTTTAATTTCATCTTTTCAAATACTTATGTACTACTGGATCATAGAAGTTAACGATCGAAAAACGACTTCTTCGCACGGAATGGTGATGCCCATGTCGTGATCGAAGCCAAATTCTTCTTCGGCACGATGAAGGAGACACTGAAATTCAGGATGAGTTAAGAGGGAAATTGGTACGACGTATCGAGTTCGATTCTCTCCCACATAAACTGCAAAATGTCCTTTAGGTACGTCAATGGGAAGGTAGTAATCTTGGTCGTAAAAGTCGTGCTTCTTTCCCAAACTCGAACACCTTATTACAATTTGCTTCAACACTGCAGCTTGTGATAGCTTGTTTGATTTTCTGATGGCCATTTTTGTAATGTTTTCTTGATGATATCGCGACAAAGTTGAGAACTTTGGAAACCAGAAGAAGAAAGACCAAATACTTCTTTGCTTTGAAAGAAATTAAGAGATGCTATTAAAGAAGTACGGGTGGTGTTTGGGATAGAGGGGTGTTAAGCTATTTATGGACAAAGCCCCCAACTTTATTAATCCCAATTGTGTGATTATTTTATCCTACCTCATTAAGAAATTGATGGAGTTTTCAAGGAAATAGAATCTTTGAGATCTTTCTCTAACACAAATAGTTTGTTTTTATCAAACAAGTCGAAACACAACCATTTTGGGTTAATAGTGGTCCTAGGCAATCATAGGAGAGTTGGGTAATTTCTAGGCGGAGTTGAAAGATTCTCTATCGACTGAGCAAAATTCAAAGAACAATATGTTTGATTGATGTTGACCTAATTATGCAACTACAATTAAATTAGCACATTTATTTTAATAAGATCAACGTACTGTCCAAAAGAATACTTTGGTACGTAACTTCTATTTCAACTACAAGCTGATCTTAAATTTGCAAAATTTGATATGGGTCCAATAGAGTAGTTTCCTCGAAACTTCGTACTTTAACAATCCTGTTTCTGGGCTCTCCTTCTCTGTCTCACATGCAAACACTCCATGTTGGATCTTTTACTATAACATTTTCTTTGGAATCACTACTGCCCAGCCAATTCACGTGGACAGAGGCAACGAACCAGTAGATCATCTTTACCTGGAACGAATTAAAGGAAGCAGGAGAAAAGGAAGATTATTACCCTAAAAAAGAGTTGAATATATAATTAAGGAAGTTCACACACCCTGAAAAAATCCTTCCTCGGTCCCCAACTTCTCTTAACCAGTGCTTTTGATCACCGTGCGGAAATCTTTTGAAAATACAATTTCAGTATTTTCCCTCGAATTAGTATATCAGACAGGATTCCTTTGTCCGGCACAAGGTATAGGTCTATTAACTTTAAATCTTCGCATCAAATATGTAAAGAAGAACTACCTATACCTAAAGCATTTGCAGTAATTCTTGGATTCTTGAAAATTATTTAATACTCCTGTCACACCTCCTTTTTCCGGGGAATGGTGCCAAAGTAAAGAAAGAGAGTTTTTCCAATTAAAGTGACATTAATCGAAATGAGATTATTTATTCAATTTTCAGAGTCGCCACTTGGGATAATTATATGGTGTCCCAAGTCACCGGTTTACATTAAATACCAAATCGAGGAAATTTGATTCTGTTTTAAAGTCCGCGAAAACCAGAAGACCGAGTAAAGAATTCTGTTAACCAGGGAGAAGGTGTTAGGCATTCCCTGGTTCCGTAGTTTTAGCACGGTCGCTTTTAATCATACATGGCTTAGTTTGTTTATTTAATTACGTACTTTTAGAACCTACGTGCATTTTACCTCTTACCGCTTTTAATTACTTGATTATTTATAATTATTGAATTATCTTGAAACGAATCACGTGTACGTGTATTCGTTTTGTTTGGTGTGTCATGAATCATGTCACGCGTACGTGTACACAATTAATAACACTTTATTATTTTTAAGATTATTTTGTCAAAGTTGCGAGAACGCTTACTTTGCCTTTAATTTGGAAAATCGTAACTATTTCACGCGAACACGTACATAATTACCATAATTGATTGGTTAACACGCGCCTAAAGCATACTAGCGTATTCAGAGTATTCCATTTATTTTTTATATTTTATTACTATTATTATTTCTTTTACCTATTGGAACGAGTCTTGAATTAGTTCATCGCTCATCTCGTTTCTTATAATTTATTTTTATCTAGTTACACAAATGCACCCTTAACTTTATACTTATGGGTTATAACCATGTCAAATAAATATATTGATGGTCGAAATAATATTTTTAATCACATCTAAAGTTGTCTACTATTTGTAGGATTAATTTGAAACAATTATGTATGAAGATAATGAGCCATTGTATAACCTAGTAATTTAATATATACAAACGAGCATAGAAATAATATACATATGATATATAACATGGAAAAAAAAATCTTGTATGAAGGGCATTTAAAAAAATTAATCTAAAACTGCAAATCCAACACATCGATTTTTGAGAACCAACCAAACAATAATAAATTTATAAACTGACTTTCAAGCATCATGGGACAAATTTAAAACTTAACCGGAAGAAGTACATATCCTTAAAAAAATTATTTAACACTCTGGACACCAACTATTAGAATAGAAGGGACTAACTATTTTCAAGACAAAAACTAAACTTTGAATTCTTAACCAAACACTTCATATGCTTTAAACCTAATGTAAACACAAATCGACGTGATACCAACTATTGTTATCTCATTTGAAAGACTAAAGAATCAATTTGTTGCAACTTGAAATTCCAATATATCCATTCAACTATAATGAAATTGAAGCCCAGTAGCGATGAAAAGGATTTCTTCCGTTAAAGACTCAGACTAACAAAATATTTTTAAAGCTTTAACTTTGAGGAAACTGAAATACTATTCTTGTTCGCTTTTCTAATCGATGATATCTCTTAAAATTACGATTTCTATGTGATATATAATATAACTATTATTTACACCTAAAACAACTTAAACAAAAAATACCTTCTGATTATTTTGTCAAATAGTCATTAAAATTATGCGATGACTAGCGATGACACATTAATTTTCGAATAGAAATTAACTCAATACAAATTTTTCCTTAACTTAGATGATCACATGCTTCATATCAACAATGAATCTAAGTACAATTATAACTTAAACATGAAATCAAATAAATAAGTAATGAAGCATTCAATTGCTAAAACTTTTTAAATTACACTAAGAAAACATGGATCTCATGTTATTAAATGGCTTTACTAAGAAGATTCGAGTATTACCTTTTTGTGAAAAATTCAGTCAGTAATCGACTTAATCTACTAATTATAAAACTTCTAGAACCCACAAACTCGAAACCACGAACGAAATCCCGAACTCCATCTTCAGATTCAATAACTTAGCCAAACTTTTTCTTTTTATTCTTCGAAGAACAGTTTTTTTT